ACCAAAAATATACATGAATTTTTTGAAAAAAATACGTGATATTAGTGTACATACCTTCCACAGAATATTTCATCACAAAAAACACGTTTCTCTTTGCTACCAATTTTAAGAGAGGTTGTCACAAGTGTGCTAATAATGCAACTGATTTATAAATGCAAATCGAACTCCCAAATCACTTACATCTCGATCGAATCAAAGGCTTTCTCATAGTCCACAAACGCTAAGCATAATGGCAGGTTATACTCCTTGGTCTTCTGTATAACCTGCCGAAGTGTGTGGATATGGTCTCTGGTACTGAATCCCTCGGAAACCGGCTTGTTCGGGGGACTGAAAGTCATCGAAACTGCGCGCGAGACGGTTCGTGATGACTCGTGAAAATAGCTTATAAACGTGGCTTAGAAGCGAGATGAGCCTGTAATTCTTCAATATGGTGTTATCTCCCTTGTTGAAGAAGTGTATCACCACGCTTCTATTGCACGCTTCTGGCGTAGAACCTTCGAGCAAGACCGAATTAAAGAGCCTCTGAAGGACTCCTAGTATCGGTGTTTCACCCGCTTTCAGAAGCTCGGATGTAATTCCCTCTTCACCCGGTGCCTTGTTGTTTTTCAGCCGTTTCCGAGCCATTCTAAGCTCGTACAGACTGATGTCTGGGATATCCTCAGTGTAATGTCGGGTGAGCTTGGCTCTAGAATCTTTAGACTATAAAACCTCTCGATTTCCCCCAGTACTTCTGGCTTGGACGTTACAACGCTGCCTTCCTCCGTCTTTGGCTTTGTAAGCTGACTATGTGCAATAAACATGTCCCTTGCAAAAAAACTTTGGAGCCCTTGTTCCGCTCTATGGTATCTTTAATATAATTGGTATTAAAGACCCGTATGTCGTGTCGCATGCACTTCCATATGTGTCTATTAAACTGCATATAGGCTTTAGCCTTATCGGAGAACTGCAGCGTCATATCGCGTCGATTTGCCATTAGCTTGAGAGTAGGATCGGAGAGTTTCTGCGGTCTATCCTTGCGGCGGGTGCTGAAGAATTTTGACCCAACCGCGTGGACGGCTCCATCAACTTGTTACTAATCTCGTCCACAGAGACGCAGTCCTGTAAGCAGTCGAAACGATTTTGAAGTTCAAGCCGTATCTGTTCGGGGTCATATGGGCACCGCTGGGTCGCAGAGTAGACTTCATCAGTCGAGAAAGTCGTGACCTCTCACGTTTGACATCGATATTCAACAAGCCTCTTACCATCCTGTGATCGCTTCCAGTTTTCATCCTATTGATCACCGACACATTGTTGAATATCTGTCTCTTGTTGGTCAATATGAAGTCTATCTCATTCCTTGTGACACTATCGGAACTTAACCAGGTCCATTACCTTTGAGGCGGTTTTTGGCAGAAGGAGTTCAACATAAAGAGTCCCTTCTTTTCCATGAAGTCGGCCAGCCTTTGGCCCCTGGAATTACGCTGCCCATAATTTCCCCAAGCTCGGCTCATCAATCATTCGATTGCCCAGTTTAGCGTTGAAGTCCCCCATGACAACATTGAAGTGTGTTTGCGAGGTATGCATGGCTTGATTTATGTCCTCAGAAATAGCCTCTACCTCCTCATCGGGGTGTGTCGAGGTCGATGCGTACACCTGTATGACTTTCAGCGAGTAGCGCTTGGATACTCGGAGTATAATATACGCAACTCTGCTCGACACACTCCCGATAGATGTAATGTTGCCAATAAGGGATTTGTGGACGATAAACTCGTGGGACTACTGGTCACTTTCCTGAAGTAGAACAAGTTGCCGGATTTCAGGGCTATCGTGTCTTCCCCTCTCTACGGACTTCCGACAGCCCCACGATATCCCAGTGCAACTTGTCCACCTCCTCTTTTAGCTCGACGATCCTCTCGTCCGACTGCAGTGTGCGTGCGTTATAGTGCGTTGCCAGGGCCACTGATCATTATCAGAAAATTTTCAAAAATGTAACATAATTCTTAAAATTGTTATGGTATATTTATTTCGCTTCAAAACTTATGAACACACGAAGTATGTAATAATAATAATAAATATTTATGTAACTTTTACTTGCATCTCATAACTTATGAACACGCGAAGTATTTACCTAAACTGCAGAAGAAATAGTAATCGTAAATAGCCAACCCATTTTTGTTTTTAATTTGCAATCAGTGCTTTTCACTATACGCAAATTGTTGTAAGTTGAATGGTAATCTCTTCTTTGAAATCTTGAGACTGATTGGTCGTAGTTTCTAATTTAAAAGATTGAAGAAGAGAGAAGACAAATTCTAGATATAATTATACCCAGGCGTTATATTGTTGAAAGTTCAATACCTTTATTGCAAGTTTACAAGACGTTTTAATTTTATATTGAAATTTTATTTAACGTGCTACCATCTTGCGGCCAGTTACTGGGCTACAAAGAACGACTAACAGCTGAACGAATAGAAAAGTATTATTTGCTCGACAACAGATAAATGTCTTCTCTAACGCACATATTGCGAAATGAACTTTTTTTCGTCAATTAGGTTTAAAATTTACAAAACACTCATGAAGCATTTTTTCAAGCTTTTGTTCGCTAATAAGGTAGAAAATTCGAGATGTTTACTTAGTTCTCCAAAAGATAAAACTCGACCATATGGCTTTGGGTTATCCCAATCTTTTTACTTTCGTTTGTTACAGTACAAAAAATGAACTCTATAAACAGAAAATGGAAAATTAATAAAAATAAGTGTTACCGATGATATGAAATACCACCACGGGAAATATTTTTGGTTATCATTTTTTCATTCCAAAACAGACAATGAGGCATTTTTCTACGATTTTAGAGAATGTGCGCCAAACAAGTGACACAACCATACAACACAAAGCGATAATGGCCGACTGAGCTCATGTATACGTAACTACGCATGCAGTTGGCAGATGTGCTACGTTTACTTACACTTCTACTGTATTTATTGTTTTGTGTGGCAGGTAACATTGACACATTTTAAGAACTGGCAGTTGATTATAAATTTATTACTATTTAAATAAGTCTACTCACTACATTTTAATATTAATTATTCCTTTTATCACCGTAAGTATTACAATATTTTTATATGTGTGTATGTAATTTGAAATTATAGTAAATTTTTGGCCACCAAACATTACCATGAAACAGGTGGATAAGACAGATTATTGCATAGATACTAGAGGTGTTAAATAATATTACATAACTAGGCAGTGTCCCAGATTTTGGTGTAAGATACTTTATGTAACTGCTTGATGTCATCAGACATGTATTTACTCTCCCTACAAAGTCAATTTACCTTTTATACAGGACTAATTTATTGAGGTAGTCAGACGCAAACGGTAATATACATTACCGTGATACCACAACACTATGGTACAAGAAAAAACAAAACACTCCACATTCAACTCGCTGTAGGTACTTTATGTACAAATGGACCGATCGGGAAAATAGACCGATGGTAACGTAGGGAACTTAAGTACCTATGTACTTTAATGATATTTCTCAAATTTTGAAGGACAGACGATATAATTTAAAGTGAATCATAAAATGTATGAGATTAAGATACTTTTTGCACACAGCCCAAAAAAGTACTAAATTAGTGTTGAGTCATGGAAAAATTTTTAATTCGTAAAAATTTAATCTTCGCATTGACCTACAAATAAATGATTTTTCAGATTTTTTTCTCCGTTATTTTGAAAAATTCATCTACTGAAAATTTCCATGGAATTACCAACACTATATTTAATTAAGAGAAACATAATGCAATAGTACGGATTAGACAGCTATTTTTACACGTTATCTTAGTTCTACATGACCTGTATTCTAGGAAAACAGCGCCAATGAAATACAATAACCTCCTCTTTTCTTGAACTTTATTCAATTGTGTAAGGAGATTAAGAGAGTTATAATTATCAATTGACAGTCTGGAACATCTGAATAGAATTAAATGAGTGCCTAAACATTGATGTGTACTATTGTCGTTTGTATCAATACGGCAAGGTCATCTTATCATTACTATATTAAGGGTCGTATTCTAGAACTCTACTCAATGCTCAAGTCAGGATTTGAGTATGGTTTAAAGCACTCGAAATCATACTCAAGTCACTGCCATTACGGTCGTATTTCCAGTGCTTGAAATCATACTCAGATCCTGACTTAAGCAGACTTGAGTATGATTTCAAGCACTGGAAATACGACCTTAATGGCAAAGACTTGAGTGTGATTTTCAGTGCTCACTGCAATACTCAAGTCCTGACTTGAGTATTGAGTAGTGTTCTGGAATACGACCCTTGGAGTCGTATTCTAGAACTCTACTCAATGCTCAAGTCATGACTTGAGTATGGTTTAAAGCACTCGAAATCATACTCAAGTCCCTGCCATTAAGGTCGTATTTCCAGTGCTTGAAATCATACTCAAGTCTGCTCAAGTCAGGATCTGAGTATGATTTCAAGCACTGGAAATACGACCGTAATGGCAGTGACTTGAGTATGATTTCGAGTGCTTTAAACCATAATCAAATCGTGACCTGAGAGTTACAACTTTTCTTTATACAGTCAATAGCACATAGGCTTTACACTTTGACCTTGATTAGAATATATTTTTTGATTTGGTTCTTAAGGTACCCATTCATCCGAAACGATGCAAATTTGTAACATCAAAATGCCTCTTCGCCCGATGTATTGCGAAAACTTACGTAATATTTAACTCAAAAATTGGTAGAATTTAGAAAACACGATTGAAAATCATCATTCCAGACCATTGACCTGTCAATGTCCCCGAAAGAATGGCCAACGTAACCATGCTACTGCTGGTAATGTTTCCGCGGCAAAATAGCATCTCGTCACGTAATTTAGGGATTGTAGCATCGCCTTAGGTTGTGTTACGACTTCATGAGCAACGTTCATAGAGCGCAAACATTGCCATTTTGAATGTTTTAATAAAAGGAATTCCCCGCTTGCAACTTAGACGTATTAAATTCTGTTTCCAGCTAACTACTCTCTGGAGGTAGTGAAGCGAATGCCAAAAAATGTGATTCCTGGGGTGTACTACGGTTGGGCACAGGTAGACTCAGGGGCCGTGTACAAGATGGTCGCCAATGTAGGCTGGTGCCCTTTTTACCAGAACAAAGAAATGTCTGTTGTAAGTATGTTTTATAGATTTCCAATTCTTTCCTAGACTTATTCCGGGCGGGTTAACACCCTGCAGGGTGGACTCTTCATCAATTTCTTCATTGCCATTGGTTTGAAGTCACAGTTAACGTAACTCCGTGTAATTGTCTTGTGGATTAATCAAACTAGAAAACCTTAATTCTTCCAGACAACACTCATTTGTTTATCGATTCTACATTAGGAGGTTAAGGTAGTCATAAACTTAACGAAAATGCCTTTTCGACGTATGTATAATTCAAAGTCAAATAATCTTTATTTCATAGGTAAGCAAATTACTCTTGAAATCGTCATATTGATTACACTCTACGGCTCATTCGTAAGGCAGAGTCCCCTGAGAAGAATAAGCAAGAAACTCTGGGGTTGCTCTTTGTAAATATACAATTTTACACATTAATCATTTGCAATATCTATTTCATACAACATAGATCGAGACTAATCTGTAAGAGCTAAACGGGTAACTACCACGGAATTATCATCTAAGTACGCCAAAGCTCTATACTAACCTTTAGTATAAAGTTTTTGTTTCTCTTAGTTTAAAACCTCGTCAATGGCAAATTCTGAATATCAACCAGAATCTTTCCTATTGTCGAAGCATAGATACATTGCCCCCTAAATGAATTTATGACATTGTAAAAACGACTATCAGGAATACCTAGTTTTTTTTTATTTCTCATATTAATGTTATGTATGTCACTATTTTTCATAAATAAATTATTTATTTTTCTTAACATAAATTATGTTTTCGTAAATATAATATGACGCTAGTGTAAGAATGTTAACTCTGGGGCCTAAATTGTAAATTATCTTAACCGTGCATTTCTGCAAGACAAAGATTCTATTAATTCCTCAATAAAAAGAAAAAAAAATCGGCGGCATTACCCCAAAGCAAAATGCCGTATAAAATTCCTGTAAGTCCTGGAGATAAACAACAATAGCTTTAAACTTTACTGAAGATGCTATAGTAGAGACTTATTTCAAAAGCCCGATATCCAACTGTAATAGGGGCTCATAGCTCTTATCAGCCCACGAACTAAGCAGCTATGGGCGTACTTTTAAATCGTATATTGACCGGATTTATAGTTTTCAACTCAAAATTTTAAAGCAACTGGTACCGTTCAAAATTAAAGAAAAATTTAGAAATGACGATGAAAGGCAATTTAATTACTGTGAAGTACTACCAATGCAAAAACGATTAAATCTAGTTTTGTTGACAGAAAAATAACTTCAAAAGCAAAAAAAATTAAAGAACTTTGGCATAGTCACACGTCAGGTCACCCAAGAGACTTCCGTTACCGTAGTAGCTCGTAATTTTTACGGTGCTCGTACGACCAATTTTTCTTGCAATAAGTTTCCTTGCAACAGCGCGCGCTCTGCTGTGGCGGTAAATCGGTGGCTTGCATAACTTTTTGTTAATATTAACTGTGTTATACCTTTATTATATTTTATTCTTTTTCGTACATTGTTTATATTTAATAAAATTGTTATTTTATATATTATGTTAGAGGAGTTGCAACACTCATACAAATCTGACCGAGTTAGTGTTTTTGTAATTATTAAATAAATTAAAAAAAAGACTAATTGAATGACAAATTTTTATGCATTTCTTCCAATTTTAACTGATATTAATACGAATATTTTTAACAAAAGAAACAATCGGCGTGCGTGTTAATTACAGTCGCGGATCATTATCCGTGATTAATAAAACATGTAGCTAGGTACAATTGTATATATAAATGAACGGTACTTCAATTGTCTTATATTGTCCAATGTAAAGAAATCCTAAAGTGAAAATATGAGGCTTTTTTTAGAGGAACAAAAAGAATATTACAGTATTATGTGTAATGAAATACGCATATTTACGTGTCACTACTTATGGCGTTTATTAGTTAGTCTTTATTTACAACCACAAACCGTGTACCATTAAAACTTAGTGATAACCTAATATAATTTAGACAGATATCGAACCTTCAAAATATTTAATGGATTTCGTACAAACATAAATCGAATTTAGTTAGCAACTTGTTGTTAACAAAAGTTTTGCAAAAGCACATTGACCTGAAGATTTATTTCGCCATCTTGAAGTTGCAAAAAACAAATTCTTTAGTAGTTTATTCTTAATATTTTCATTATATTATTAATATTTTATTACAGGAGACGCACTTGATGCATGAATTCGACTCAGATTTCTACGGGTCGAATTTGAAAATCGTCCTCGTCGGCTATTTAAGGGACGAGTTAAACTTCGATTCACAGGGTAGCTTGATCGCTCAAATCAATGAAGACATTCAGAACGCCGATCAGAAACTAGACCTACCAGAAGCTAAGGAGATAAAGAATCAGTATTTTTATAAAAAAGCCGACTGAAACTGAAGACAAGCGAAAATCGATTAAAACCAATTTTAAAATATCACCCCACACATGGTGACAAATACGCGATGTATTTACTATATGCAGAAAGTTTACAGTAAGATTTTATTATTTAAATACATGTGACTATTGTGCCTTAGAAGATATTTCATAAACAAGGCTTCCGACGGCTGTGAGACATGGAGGGAAAGTACTTTAAATATTGTAGATAGGGTATTTGCTTCAACAATCATCCAAAACATCCCGTATTTTTATGGTCAAAAGAGTCAATAGTAAGGATTCATATCCTTTTAAGTAACACAGTATCTTAAAGGAACACGGTTCAATTATACAATTTATTCAAAAATGAAACAAACTTGAAACTGTCAATTTATGTTTTGTTGTATTTACGGTATTTGTCATTAATTTATCAACATGTTTAAATTATCGTTTTCTATCTTGTACTTATAATAAATCTGTGCAAGTAAGTAATTTCTTAAATGGGTACTTATTAGTAAATAATCAAAGCTATCCGTCAAATGATAATGCCGATATTTTTAGTGGTACGGATATCGACAGTATTATTATTAGGGTGGCTTCATTTGGGACCTCTGGGTGCGGCCTGTGCCTACCCAGTATGAAACTTCTTACGTCCATTAGAGGGCAGCACTGGGTGCACATGCACAGGAGTATTATCCACTTTGTGGCAGAATATATGTACGTTCTCTGTTTTCACTCTGCCCAATATTTGACATGTGCTTGTTCAAGCCACAATGCCATGTTATTGATTAAATCGAAGACGCGGACGCAGCACGTATTTAGAATAATGTTTTTTTGAAGTATTTATTGATAGAGAAGCCGTGAAATATTAATAAATTAAATAATACCAAAATAAGACAATAAAGTCCTATATTAATACGTGTTTTGAAAAGTAGTCGCTCTGGAGAACAAAAAAGAAACAACAAAGTAAAGTTTTGTTTTTATAGTTAGACCTTAGAAAATATTTTTATAACATTTTCTTACACCGTAAGAATTATCATACCTTTGTTTCCTAAATCGATCGATCAGAATCGAGAACTGTATTGTATCAAGTGAACATCACATCACTAACCATAAAATTTGACCAAAAACATGACGGAACGTTCGTGTCACGAAACTGAAAGAATTGTACGAAAGTATCGCTCTTCATAATATTCATGGCCTACTAAAGAAGGGTCACAAGTGTACCGCACCAAGAAAAAGCTGCAATGTATTACGAATCACGCGGCATACACTCGATTGCATATTTCTTTTCTCGAAATTATCTCTTCCAAATACTTTTCCTCCGTGTCGCATAGCCGTGTGACGCCTGTATAAAATTAGTTTAATATAATAGTTCCTAAAATAGAAAGACAGTCCCATTGTTCCATTTCATTTTCGTCACTAGTAAGTTAATAACTCGAAACATCGGTACGGCGGCGGTGCACGCGTTTTAATATCACTATTTAGCAAACAAAAAAAGTTTGCATATGATCACTTTAATTTCGCATCGCCATATGGCGTATTTGTCGAATAAGCATAATATTTTGTCAAATATACACTCCACAGATAGGTTGTTTCCCAAAAAATGCCAAATGCACGTAACACGTAACGCCAAGTGCTATAACCAATTGATATGGCCCCAAAAATCCATAGTAACTTTCATATACGTAGCGTGATGATCGTTACATTTTTGTGCTGTGTATTTTTCGGCTGTTTTTGAAGTGTAACTGCATATGAAAAGTTGAATTTCATCGCTTCTTACTTGTACACTTGTACACACAACCGAATCAACGTACATTGCTTCGTACAACTGGTGCTGTTGTTTTAAGCTATTTTTAACCGACTTTAAAAATGGAAAGAGGTTCTCATTACGCCTGTATTTTTTTTGTATGTTTGTTACGCGATTACTCCGACATTTGTGAACCGATTTTGATGATTCTGTTTTTGTTGGAAAAAGGGTGCCTCAGTACTGGTCTCATTTCAATTTCAAGAAAATATTTCACTCACTCTCTCAACAGTGGCAAACTAGTGGATGAATCCGGTTTCGCGCACTTTCCTGGGCGCCTACTATGAGCTCTTAGAGCAATCCTATTTAAGCCTGTAAGTTGGATTGCCTGTCAAATTCGTATTATGACGAAATGATTATCACTAGTATCAGGTTCCTTACCACGGTATGACTTCTTTTTATTTTCCCGATATTTAACGGTTGCACGCTCCATGGTCACGGGTTGACTTGACTGTCAACCCGTGACCATGGAGCGTGCAACCATGATAGTGATAGTCATTTAGTGAATAACCACGAAAGTCTTAAAATCGTATTATGACCTCACAAAAACAATTCACTGTCCATGCAGTTTACGTTCCCCATTCGAAATCCGTTCACATTTTCTTTCATACCAAAATCGTGATCATGACATGCCATTTGCCATGCAAATCTGTAAAAACAAACCAATTCCAAAAAATCTTCCAAAGATTTTTTTCTGAGTGTTCGATCTTTGTATTAATAATTATAAACTAAATGTATGATTATAACAAACTAGTGGAGTAATTTCACAAAAAATAATTGAATATCAATTCAATAAAAATTTAAAATATAACAATGCAAAAAAAGTTACTCCGTGACTAACTTTTTTTGAGATTTTGTTACATTTTTCCATTGACTTACAATTATATGGACGTCGGGTCCGCGCTAAAAAGTGTCCGCACTTGTAAGGCGCTAAAATCGTATACAGAGCGCCAAACTCCGCTTTAGTCTTCATTTGTTCGACTGACAGCGCGATACTGCGATGACATTACAATTTAAATTTCGAATAGGTTGACTTGGGACATTTTTTCCGTGGTTTTTGTATTAGACCCGTCGTCCATTTATTTGTAAGTCAATGCATTTTTCAGAAATTTTGTTTAAGTTTTATTATATTTTTAGTTTCATAATTATTTTTATCTTTTTATGCTATCTATATACTATTAACTATTGAGCGTTTTTTGTAGATTTTAGTTTGAGTTTCCAATCTTTAAAGTATTGTTGATAATTATTGGCATGAATGTTATTGCAATTTTAATCATTTTAATAATTTTATTGACGGAAAATCGTAAAATAACTTTTAAGTAGTGTCAAATTTGACTCTATTTGCTTTCAATGAAAATGTACGAATACAAGATACGTTCCAATTATGTTATTAAACTACAAACTCACCTTATTAATTTCAATGATAATGACTAAACATGACATGTAATTTTGTCGTACGACAAATTGTATAGTTGAATAAGGCCATTTTGGTTTATGCGGCGAACGCGTGGTAGTTATTATTCAGACCAATTTAAATTTTTTGCCTAGTGAATAGAATTCAGATTCGCCATTAATAAAGCGTCGTGTAACTGGACGCTTACTGTACCAACTGGGGTTAATGTCAAGGAATCATCAGGGTCATCAGGGCTCGATATTTGAAAATCTTAAGACTTGAGAAAAATCTATCTTTCTGGTTTCATTATGGCAGTGTTTGATTGTAAACACTTTTTAGTCCATCGAAGCTTGGTCGCGTTGTGATTTACCTTTCGATTTTCAGATTTTTTTTGTACGTAAATTTGGAAAATACGCGAGTTAATAATACAATAAATACTTACTTACAGCGCCACCGCCACCACCTCGGGAAAAATATTTTCATTGAAGACCGCCAAGACAGAAAATACTTGTTTACAAATTATCGCTTTTCTTTTGTAGTCTGTCTATTACATTAGGACGGCAACTAATTAGTTTCTTTGTAGTTTAAAATGATTAAAATATTTTTGAAGCCTTGACAGATTGACTAAATGTTGGCATAAATTATTATATGAAAAAGAACAAAAAGTTATAATAAAGCTTTTTCTCACAAGATGAATATTTCGATTTTCGCTTGTTAGATTTTACTAAAACCATGTTATAGCAAATTCCTTATCTTGTGATATTTTTTATAACAACATTTATAGATTATTATAAATTTTACGACTGTTTTTTGAAAATAAAGAAAGCTTATAAGGTATGGTTTGACTGTTTGCTAGAAACCTACATATTGTTATCCCGAAAATGTTTGCGTGTCAAGCAAGATGGACGGTTTGGTATGTAAAATTATAATGGTACTGTTACACATTTCAGTATCGAACCTAGAAACGGTTGGAAAAACGTGAATGTCAATAATGTTTTGATTCATTTACTTAGCTTTACACATTACAAACCGACCACCTAATTTTTTTTTATACTTCCTGTGTGCTCCTGATACTTCCTTCCTTACTGTGCTATACGATCTATGAACCTACTCTAAAACCACGAATTCACTGATAATTAACGATTTTAGAACTCGTCATCAATGATTTAAGCCTGAACTTTTGACTTCGACGAAGCAAAGATGGCGAGAAAATAAGTCATTTTAGGCAAAGTTTTATTTTTGAGGGTACAAACAGCTAAGTTAGTTTATTACAAAAGTTAGTTTTGTTATCCCGAAATATTTGCTTAACCCGCCATTTATACTTAGCCGAAGTCAATCTTTGTTTCTTAATCTTAGCCTTAGATCATTGTTCGTCCTTGCCTAATTATCTAGCCACATAAACGCAAAGTGACACAAGACTCATTAACTTTCCGTCACATTATACAGTCTGTCCAAAATTCAAGCTCAAGCGAGCACCCCGGCGAGAGGCCAGATTATTATCAGTTCTGCTAAAAATAAAATAAAAGATCCATGTCTGTGATAATAGGCATATTTTTAAGTTAAACATCGACATTTAGAATTTTACATCGATTAGAATTGAGCATCGTTATTTGGAATTTAATTTAAAAAAATTGCTAAATCTGTGACGAGTATGTTACATACCTGTAGACGGGTCTAGTATCGATTTTCAACATTTTCAAAAATATGCTCAAATGTATACTTTACATAATATTAAAAGTATTATTTATGCAAAAACACGCTAGTGTAGATAGATATTGTTGTATTTATGCTACATTGTGGATGCACTGCGAAGCATGTTGCGAATAAATTCAAATCTCACTAAAACTCAAAGAGTTGGTGATATGACAAAAAATCGGTTCTTTTCAAGTATCAATTCCTTTTTTCCATATAAGGGTATCAAAGCCGAATACAGCGCGTAATAAGTATTCTGGCAGTGTTGCGGTTATGTGGACCGCAGCCACCGAAAAATTAAGCAGCGCTGCTACAGTCGCCGTTGGACTCTAATGAAAGTATCTATAAAAACATGCATGGCTAATTTATGTATGGTCTGCACCTGGAGACAGCTGGTACGGAAAAGTGGAATAGGGGCTTTTATACTGTTTAGGTAATAGGTTTTGTGCGCATAATTAGGTGTGTGCTTCAACATATTTTCAGCTCTCGCATATAGCATTTACTTATCGTTTACTATCAACTACAAAGTATCGAATTCTTTTGACGAAATATTTAATTGAAATCATTCAGTCCACTGGGATCTTTTGAATAAATTGTCTTTAGGAAATAAAATCTTACTCTTCTCTTAAACAGTACATGTGAAAAGATAAACTACGCGTCCGAAACATTGACTTACTTACAAATTGTAAGTCAATGGTCCGAAAGGGGTTTCCTTCCTTCCTTCAACCTATCCTTCACTACAATCTCGGTACATTTTTAACATCATCATCAACCCACTTATACGCCCTACTGCTGGGCACGGGTTTCCATTCAGACGAGGGTTGCTAGGTAAAATATACTGTACATATTCTAGTTCTACACTCCCCATGTTATAGTTGTAAAGACAAAGGCATGAACCCACTTTGTTTTTAATTAACATTCTCAAACTTTATTATCAAGAATAAATCAATATTTCGCAAAGCAGCAACATAAAACAAATAAACAGCACAGCATGTATAGGAAACTAAGTACTGGTAGTAATAAATAAAACAAAAATCCCTTTGAAAAAGCCTTTATTTTAGGTTGTTTGCTTTAACAAATACATTTTTATAATAAAACTCGTACTCTCTTCACGTGCTTGGGAATAAAAATGCAAATCTTAAATAATAGCGGCTTCTCATCAGGAAATGTTTAATGTTGCTTTCTTCTAAACGAACATCCTGAAACAAAAGGCTTTGATGAATAAAAAAAGATTATATTTTTGCAAAAATCAAATATTGACCCTTGCCATGTCATATTCTTTTAAGAAACAATTTACTCAACTAAAAACAACAAACATTGACATTAAATACAATTACTAGATTATTTCAGAATTCAAACTTAACTCAGTTACAACAGTGGCCATTGAAAAGAGTACTTGTTAAAAATATACAATGCCATTTGCTATTTTAGAATATTGTGATTTTTATTTCATATCAAAGTGGTTATAATATACACCATAAAACGAAACTTTGCTGACATATTACTTGTACAAGTAAATTTAGACTTATAAGTATATTTTAATATTATTTGTATGAAATCTAATTACTATTTCTGCACACACTCATAGGCCCCGTACTAGGGAAACCCTGTATAGCGGGTGTCATGGACAGACGCATAGACAATCACAAATGACACCCAAACTCATGAGAGAATTCTCTCGGCCCGGGAATCAAAGCCGGGACCTCTGCATGGCAGTCCAGCATTGTTAGCATATATCTAAATATATGCCGCAAGTACAGCAATTTGTATCAAGCGTACCACATTTTTTGTACCCACTATGATGTCACAAGAACTATTTACTGATGGAAACCTCCTTCCGCTCACTCTAAATCGATTGGTTGTTATTGCTATTGATTCGGAATACGCGTAAACACGTGTATTACACAACTGAACGCATTATACAAAAGTGTGTTGGGTCCGATATTCATGGTGTATTAACAAAGGATCACAAGTATATGGCATCAAGTAAAATCCGCAGTGTATAACAAATCATGAGGCATACACTCAGGGTCGTATTCCAGAACTGTACTCAATGCTCAAGTCAGGATTTGAGCACACTTGAATATGATTTCAAGGACTGGAAATACGACCCTAATGGCAAGGTCTTGAGTACGATTTCTAGTGCTTTGAATCATACTTAAGTCCTGACTTGAGCATTGAGTAGAGTTCTAGAATACGACCCCTAGTTGCTTATTCGTTTTCTCGAAATTCATACATAACCAAAATAATTGTTTTTAAAATAAATTATGCATCTTCTGATCACAAAATCACTTGCCCTTGGAAGGAAATGTCCCTATTTAACCGTTTGCCCACAGTTATGGTGCTTTTGCAGTTTATAATAGCAAAATTAGGCATTTTTCGTGTTTTTGACTGGTGTTTATATGATAAGGGTCAAGCACATTCTGAAGTTAAGCAACAGCAAGTAAGTGAATTTCACTTAATTTGGGCATGCGAAGTACGTACACTTGCGGCGTCTATCTAGATATGTGTGTGATTGTAACCATTCGACCACGGAGACAGTTGTCCACCTCCCTAGGTATCTTTCATTTTTGTTGCAATAAAATATGTATAATACTTTGTATTTTTTTAAGGTTAGAGGCAGTCAGCATAGTTATTCAGAAATTAACATGTGTATAAAACAAATTATAACTATATGATCAAATTATTCTTTTAATGAGGACTGTCAAACTGTAGTAACATTTTTTAACTAATTCTGCTTTGATTATAATGCATTATTTATAGAGGCAGTTCATGATAGCAATCAATATCAACTATAAAATAATTGAGTTTTAGTGAATCAGCAGCAATAGCAACGCTTATTTATAAATTATTATACAATTACCACACAAGTAGAAATCTTCATTAGCAAAATATTGTGCAATCATAAGTAGATGCATATTGCACAACATTTTTAAATATGAAGAAATGAATAATTAAAACAAATATGACTATGAGCATGTTACTCTCCCCCCATTATAATTGGTTAAGATAAAGGCTTTCCATTGTCATTTATTCCAACATCTCTCGAAAAACTGTATACATATGACCGACAACAAAGAGGACTTCTAAAATGCACTAAGTGCATGTGGGTTAGTGAATAAAGAATTACATTCCTAACCATGTTAAATGTTCTGTTCATTGATTTACCATCACACAAAGTAACAATATGTACATATATATTGCACATGTGGAATAATATTATATTGATAACCCAAAATGAAAACGCGTGTTAAGTGTGTGAGTTTATAAACTTACAAACACACACACAAAACAAATGAATGGTGAAATTAATAAATTAACACGCACCTTCAGTTAACCTAGCACGACCTCCAGTAGGCTGGCAGAGGATCGTTGAGCATCCAGCGCAAACGACTACCCTCTGGGCATGACTGAATACGGTCGTAATCTTGTAGCAGCCGGGACATTTAACATCCATAAAGTATGAGTTCGGATGTGGCACCAGCCTCTTCAACTTATGTTTCCTTCTCTCCGACACGGGGGAAGGGTGCAATAGATCCACTGCGAGCTAAAACACCAACATTGTTAGGTTATTATCGCACAATTAAACAAAATCTTACCCCAAACACTTAATTTTCAAAAAATAGTGAAATACGGCAAAATAACACTGAGTTTACTATAATCGTACTATATTTCAACGAGGATTGCGACTTTTTGGGTAACTCCCCAACATGTCATTTACTGCCATGTGTAGCGGATGTTTTGTGCGCAGTAAATTTTAGAAAGGAAAATGTTTTATATATATTATAACACAAAATGTAGCGCATTTAGCTTATAAGAAACTAATAATTCCAATCAAATGCAACCCGGTTTGAATTTAACAAATAAAAACTAGAAAATACACACCGGCATGGTTTCAGCTTTGATGCAGAACCGGAAAAGGAAAGACGTCCACTGTACCAAAGAGAAGGAGACACAACCATAAATATGACAGATATGAATACGTTCAAAATTAGCTTGAGTAAGGCTTGCTTTAGTAGTTCATAAACTACGAACTGTTAAGAATGAATTCCTGACTCTGACCAAAAGGAACTAGTTCCTTGTGCTGTACACGATCTTAATAGTTCACCTGTCTTTTTAGTTTTATAGGAAATGGGACTTATTTGGGAAGTATAGACTAAAAAGACGTGTGAACTAATATTGTATGTATATAATAAGTATTAGTTCACCTGTCTTTTTAGTTCTTTCTGTTCACAAACGCAAGTCGAGTCGGAGCGAACTAGACAAATAATGGATTATCATTGCTTTTAGTACAACTTCGAAAGGGATGCACGATTGAACCTTACTAACTCATTTAAACCCACAGAAATCTACATAAATATATAATAATTTAGATTTCAGTAAGACTCAAATATAAACTTATAATTATACAATAAACTTTTTTCATAGCTATTTTTATTTTCTTTATAAAATTTAACACACTTACACACAATAATATACATAGGTAATAAACATACCTATCCTATATTAAATAAGAAACTCTAATACAACAAAGATCACATTATGACAAATGTTGAAATAAAATTGTTTTGTAACATTTAAAAAGAATACAAAGAAAATAATTCTAAATATGAAAAATCTTTATTCGAGAATTCAAAAGTATAATATCAAAGAGAGAAAACAATAAAGTATTCCTATTTAAAACAGTAAATCGTTTATACGGATCATTTCAATCCGACCGAAACGGTTCCTATTTCCTTGTTGTCTGCCATCCTTTTCTCTGTTTTAAAAAAAAAAAAAAACTCCATATGTGTTGCGAAAATGAAAAAAATTAAACAAATTAATATAAAATTTTCAAAGTAAGTCAATGTAATTCCCCTTAGACTATTTCCATCCTAAGTATTTCCCAGATCTCACTGAACTAAGGAACTAAAGGAACTAAAAGACGAAATAAGTCCATTTGTCTGAATGAACCAATTGGTATCGCTCCCTAGCAGAGTGGCACATGTCTAGTTCAAGAGATTATTATTTTGTGTTCCACATAGAATTGAGAGAGACGGTGTATTATTTCAATACTTATGAAAGAGACAACGAAAAATCAATATCTTCGTCTGCGTATTTTTTATTCTTTGACTTGCGCGAGGGAGTGTTGCGCATTGTTGGCGCGCGATCTTTGACATAATTCAAACTAGGTATATTTATTGTGTTGTTGACCCTTTTATTTTTTTCCATCCTCTAAGTGTTGACCTGGATCAATAGAGCAACGAAGTTTCCTTCCTTTTGACGCTCAACTGTCCACCGACACGGGGGCGAAGATTATTAGCTATATACAAGAAAGAAAAACCGTACATTGTATATCATGGCTGAGAAAGAATATGACGCGGAAGTTTCTGAGTTGGAGTTGGACGATCTCGTTCTCGAAGATCTAAGCGCAGACGAAGAAGACGATGATAACAACGTTAAGTACTTGCCGGCCGCACAGGCCGGTGGCGGTGTGGAGAAATCCAAGAGAATTACCACACCGTACATGACCAAGTATGAGCGCGCCAGAGTACTAGGTAAATATCACTTTTCTCAAATTTCTTTTTGTCATTGCTCTTTTTTGTTGAATTGTCTTTTTAATTATTATTATTTTTAATAAATAGATTGATTGAATGTATTGTGCAGACAACAAGTTGTTGGAGAACGTTTGCGAATATTTTTGCTATAAATAATTAATTAAGCTATGATTACACCTATACCTTAGGTTTATGAACATGACTTATGTATGACCTAGATGCCTGGACGCCCAGACGTGGTTCAATGCTGTGAACATCTTTTGTCCTTTTCTATCTTCTTTGTTGTCTGCCATCCTTTTCTCTGTTTTTCAAAAAAAAAAAAAACTCCATATGTGTTGCGAAAATGAAAAATAATATATATTATTATGAAGTAGCTGGTCTTGCTAACAAATTAATATAAAATTTTCATATTATGGGTGAATGCAGGTATGCTGAAGGTGAGGCGGGGTTGCAACGAGACAATAAAACACCAGTGAGACCAGGGGCCTTACCATAAACTCTTGGTACGATTCAATTTAGGACATAAAATGAATCGTTGTGAGACAGCGCTACATGAAGTGTATATCACCATCCCGCTTTTTTGTCGTTACGAACCTATACTGAATTGTAATAAGAGTTCATGGTAAGACCCCTGCTGTTGATTCAGGGTCAGCAAACAATCCTAATCATTATAATTTGTATTGCTACTGCTTTGCTACATCCCAAAGCAAGCCTGTTTTACTTTTAAAAGCTTCCTGAATGGAATCTTTTCCGTTCTTTACTTTCTTACTTCGTAGTCATGCAATTTCCATGACTTGCGGGTTTAGATTACGGGGTGGTGTGCTTATACTGCGGGATATTCTATACCCGGAGCTCGACCAGCACGCAGTAACGAATAATATGTTCAATAAATATAAGAAATATCTGATAGAAGTCGAACAAATGAAATGTCTGTATACATTTGAAATAATTTGTGTAGCTATCATTATTAATTTGATTGAGGTAGTTATTATACAAATTGATAAGAATTATTATACAAAAGAGTGGCAGCCCGACAGTTGCTTCCTCCTTTTCCCATTGTGATCTGTGATATTTTACGAGTAGCGGACTGCAATACACAGCAAATACTCAATAGGTATACTAAAAAAGCAAACAACTTGCAATACCTCAAATCCTGTTACACAACAACGGCAATAGAGATATCCAGAAAAAGAAGTGTAAGAATGGATAGAACGTAGCTTTGCACGAGCCAACATTTGTCTTTCACGATACTTGTAGTCGCCAGTGCCACCACCCACCGTACATATTTATGTTGTATTTGCAAAATATCGCATAAAAAGCGAAGATTTGGTAAACAGTTGAGAGAAGAGGAGAAAGAAATTGAACTAGCAAGGTTGCGTTCAAAATTTGGATACTTAACGAAGTTTGATTATCATGTACTACTTTAAACTACCACACGGGTATTTTGCTACATACGTCTGTCGTGTATATAAACAATCGATTGTTTACCCCAAATTATGATTGGAGACATGCCGATTTTCGATCGGATTAGAATTTTACTTATATGGCAGCCAGTGAAATTTTCAGATCCTGGAGGCCTCCGCATGCCAAGTTTCAGCTGAATCAGAGCGAGTCTTTTTCTGTAATAATTTTTATTTTAACAAAAATTTTTGACTTCTAAAGACCTTGGTGTGCCAATTTTCAGCAAACTATTCCGGAATTTTTCTTTGACCTCCATTTTGAATTTGCCATCATGATTTTTTAAACACACGCATTTAATCACTGTTATGTAGGTTCTGTATCTGGAAAATAGGGAGGGTACTGTACGTGCACTCGGGGCGGTTCACCCGAGGCACTAGTCTCTCGAAGAACCGGATGAAATCAAGTGACAGAGGTCTGTGAGAACCCTGTACACTGACTGATCTGGGGTCAGAACCTGAACTTGTAAGGTTCCTGCGCGCGCACAGGCAATAGTGCCCTTCCTGCATAACCAAGAGGTTGATGAGGAGGGGCACTATAAACAAAACTTACGTAGAATGATATGGGACTGTTATGTAGGTTCCTTGATAGAAGACTGAAATTTGTAAGACGGTCATCTTGTTTGTTGCAATTTCGAATATTTTTTCTTCCGGCGGAAATTGGCGAGGGCCTCATAAAAATACACAAATATCCCCTCCATATATTGTATTTAATTTTGTGCAGGCCATTGATCATTCTTTGATATTTTCCACATTCAGGATATTTCGTATTTTTTTCCCTTTGCTTTGGAACCTATTCGCGTACTACGGTATAAATATTTTCTTTCCACTATATCGCGAAGTATGCATTCTATTTATCTTAGTGAGTAAGAACTTGTAGCTTTATATGTATAGTATCTATATATCAATATCCATAAGTTTTGAGGCAAAATATGACTTTAAAAAATAAAACAATAAATAAAATATTGTTTAAATTAACTTGGTACAGGTAACATAGGTATTTTTACTAAAAGTAATCAACATACATGTTTGTATAATGGTTATTTGTTATACAAGGGTGGAAAGTTATTATTTGACGCGAGTGCTGTATTGAAACCTAAGCACGCGAAGCGTTTCAAGACACGAGACGCAAAACTACTTTGCTGCCGCGCGAAACACCAAACTTTTCACCTCACTATAGCGAGGAAAATGCTAGATGAAAGAATAACCGTTGAACTATAACAAATCAGTTTTAATAAACAAAATTAGTTATCGTTGTCAATTTAATGTCAACAATAATTAGAATAAAATAAATCAACGGATTTATATTACATAAATAATGTACGCCAAATCGCATACTTGAACGTGTCATTATGTTTTTTTTTTCATTGAAAGAAAAAGTTAGGTGCACCCCAGTCAATCGTCAAGTTCGAACCACAAAAACCTTTTCCACGCTAGCGTGGAAAAAACGCTTTTGCGCGCAGATTTCTAATGACAAAGAAAGACTTTCCGAGCTAGTAAGTTGAAAAAAAATTACTTAAAAAATAAACGACTTTATTTAAATCTAGCAAGCATGGGATGTACGTAGATAGGAAGGTAATTAATTTAAAATATACTTAAATACACTTGAAGTGTAGTAAATAATTGACAAAGAAGCTGATACTTCATTATAACGAAACTTTTTGCTACGTTTTATCGCGTCGATTTTACACCGGTCAAATTCAACGGGGGCGGTTTTAAATGCAGAACAAAATAATTTCAGTAAAGATCATTCACTACAGGAAGAAAATCCTTTAGGTCGATTACGTAATTTTTGTATTGTAAGTACTGGTTTTTTAAATTTTACTCCAGGTACCCGAGCACTTCAGATCGCTATGTGTGCTCCAATCATGGTGGAACTGGAAGGGGAGACAGACCCGCTAAAAATTGCTATGAAGGAGCTGAAGCTGCGCAAAATTCCCATGATAATACGTCGCTATCTGCCTGACCAATCTTACGAGGACTGGAGCATTGATGAACTGATCGTCACTGACCTGTAAGGTGTGGTGTTTATTTTTATGAAATATTGTGTGTGTCTATGTTAAACATTTAGTATATGTATATTGAGGATAGAGAAAAAAAGGGATTTGGTATAAACGTAGCATATAGCATTAGCTCTGCGCCCATTCTAAACGTGTTTTCTATCCATAGCCGTATGGACACGTATGCCGATACGAAACACACGTTTAATATGAACGCAACGCTGTACTGATATGTGGGTTCCAATCACAAATTAGAAAGATAACCCTTAAAACATTGTACGTCACACGGCCCCAACGCGTTTGCTAAGGATATATATACCTACTAACGCAAAAGTGTCTAGGCAGCTGTAGCCACTTTCCATCAAGCGGACTGTAGTGTAATATAACGGTGTTGTGAAAAATGATCATAAAAATAAAAAAATACAGTTGAATTTAGAACTTCCTCCTGTTCTAAAGTCGGTTAAACAAAAAGTTACAGAACAACGTGTATACGTATTTATGAGATTTTTCAAAATTGTTCGTTACGTCATTAAAACAGCTCAACTGTTTTCAAAGGTGATAATTTCTGTAGCTGTGTATACCAAAAAAATAATTACAATTATATCAAATTATAATTACGGAAGATGGCGTTTATACTACATTGATAACCGGAAGATTTTAATGTTGCTAGAAACAAAGCATTCGTATATTTGTGTTCGTAGGTGATTGTTAAGTATTGAGAAAAAAAACACTTTCAAAGCTACATGTTACCACAGTTCAGGAGCAGGGTTGAATAATATCCTGTTAGCTTGCGTAGGTGAAGCCACTCTTCCTTTACTGTATCTACCAGAAAATAGCAATGGTGACCTTCATAATGGTTTTCCAGATTTACGCCTAGGGACAGCAAAAGAGGCTTATAATAATATTATTATTAAATATACTATTATATAAAATAATATCTTGTGTGATATTATTTATTCAATTTCGATATCAAGGTTTATTTATAGATATTTGTTTTATTACAACACGCAGCTTTCGAAAATGATACGTCTACAACACATTGTCTTCATCACACAAATTTGAAATTAATAGCCTTTGTTTTAAATTTAGTTAACTTTTTAGCACTGATTTACTCTTCCGTAGCCAGTTGTCGAATTTATCCTTGGAGGCATTAACAGGCACAGCAGAAACAACATCTTCCGTTAAGTAGTATGCTCTTGTTATGCACCCCTCCGTTGCTGAAGAAATTTTGTGCAGCATGTATTTTGGTAGGATCACGAACTAGTTTATGATGTGTGGGTGTGATGGTTTGAATACCTTAGTTGCCTTCCTCTGAACGCTTGCAAAGAGGGTTTATGTCTTTTTTGGAAATAATACACTTGATAACCATATACCTACCATTAGTGGCCGAATATCGGTCTTGTAGATTTTGCGGACGATTCCGCTGTTGCAATCTGATCTGCGCATGACATAAATAAAGGAGTTAGCTTCTTGACTATTGTATAGTGATATGCTCATCCAATTTTAAATTGAAGGCAATACTGACTCCGAAGTTCTTTTTGAATGTTGACAGAGGCTAAGGCATTTCCATCTAAGTTGTAGCTATGTGACCTTGGGGTTATTGTTGCCAAGAAGGAGAATGCCGCTTTTTGATGCAACTAAGTCCACATCTTTGATCCACTCTTGTATATGACTGAGATCTTCTTGAAGTTGTCTAGAGTTTAGAAATGGATTTGTAAAAGAGGTATCGTCGTTCGTCATATCAGAACAAAAAGGCGCATTGGAATCTATGTAGTCAATCAGATCTGTTACGTATATTCTATGTGGGGAGCGAGCACTAATACCTGTAGTACCCCGCTCAATGCCCGCTCTTGTTGCGACAGGGAGTTGCCTGCCCGCTTACTTGGTATATATGCATCGGCGTATGTGAGAGTAGAAGGCATCACCATGTTCTAGTATATTTTATTCGTACACCTCTCACTGATTTCTACATAGTGCAACGCACCTGTCCTTAATGTCGCGGGATTTTGTGTGTTCATCACCTGAACCAGAATGCCTGTATTTCTCTCATAGTAGTTTCCTGTATTTGTTCAATAGTAGTTTCATATTATTGTCATTCTTACTATAAAAAGCGTATCTGTGACAGTCATTAATAGGAAAAAAAATTGTATAACTTTAATGTGTGTGACGATGGTAACTTCTTGTTATTAGGATGATCCTAAACCGGATGAAGCCTTTTAGAGACATCCTGCCAATGAAAACTTTCGAGACCTTTCTCTCCCTTCCTCGACTTATTTTCTGTCAGTATTGTAACGTGCCAAATTTCTCCCGTGTAATTATTTTTACCTAATCCAATACTGTTTATTTGTCTCGAACCGTTTCATTGGCAGGAGTCAACTTTTTTACTAAGAGCCCATGCAGACCGCAGACTTATAGGCCGATAGTTCAGTCAGGTCCTTAATCAGTATTAAGATGTAATGAACGATTTGGTATGGACCGATAAGTAAGCTTGAAGAGGTACTCTATTGCCTTCAAACTGCACATGTGCCGACTGTTTAGTTTGCTGATATACCCAATACTCTCAGTTTTATTTATTAATATCAATATATCTTGACTATTTAATTTTCATGACGCAACCGATCTTTCCAAGAGCAGTTTACCACCTGGCAATATTTATCATGAGCAATCGGCTGATAGCTAGTCTGCGCACTCACCACCAACCAGAGTGTGCGTGCTAGCAGCCCTACGCGACTTTAACTATCGGCGGAAAAAAAGTCAGTTATTTGCGAGGGTCCTAGTCGAATACCGCCATTTTTTCTACATGCTGAAAAATCGCATTCATTTACGCTGTTTATTTCCTAATTATGTCCAAATTTCCCAAATATCAATACAACTGACTTCAACTAAAAGTTTTATTTCTATGATCATATTTGGTATGCGACAATGTTTTCGAATAAGACTTGACTGATATTTATGGAATGTGATAACAGAAAGTGTGATCATTACTCGATGGAGGTATACTCGTACGTCTATTTATATTGTGTACTCATTTATCAAAATAGTGTTTTATATTAAGATGTTACGTTTGTTGATTCGGCAAGGTACTGATATTAATAAGTAAATAAGTCTAAAAGACGAGATTGTTTAGATGAGCTTCGGAATTAAAATCGATTAATCCGATAAATTTCGATTCTAACTGGTCACGTTGTGTTCAGATTCATGCATTTGAAAACGTATTTTGAAGGAGAAGTTAGCAGTTCAGGTTGGAAAAATTATTACCGTTTGGCATTAAAAAAAAGTTTAAATGCGACTTATCGTATTTCGTTCCTACGCTCCCATTTTAATTTATAAGTTAGTGAGTTTTTTTACATATCTACTTCTTGTGCAATTTTTGTGAATATATTTGTAAGTAATCACTTATATACTTTAACTTTACAGTATTAATCCATAAAAACATTGTTTAAATTTATAATTAAAGTTTTCATTTCTTCTGTATTCTGTAGTTTTATTTCACCTAAAAGATTTAAAATGGAGAATTGAGAATGCAAGAGAGAGACTGAAATAGAAATAGAATAGAAATAGAAATCATTTATTCCTTGAATAATCTACACAGTACACATGCATTTTATAATAATAATAAAACTGATAATGATGGTAATAATAATAACAACAAGGATTTGGAACTAAATTCATACTTATATGGAATACAAAGCGTGTGTGCTGTACTGCCAAGGAAACCGTGAACCATTCAGCATGTTGCCGTCTCACTTAAAGTGCAACGGCGCTGATTTTCAGTGGATCCGGCAACAGAACACACGTGACGCTGAACATAGTAGCCGTCACAGATTCACACTAAAAACATTGAATGAAACAAGCACATATTATAACTTTAAACGCAAAACATGAGCAGTTTATTCCTTTAAGGTACAATTAATGAAGTTATCATTTATGTATTATGCATGAGTTAAAATGTATATTATTGTACAGGTAATTAATTTCATAAAACTTGAATAAACATTTCAATTGCAAATAACATTATAAATCAAATATAATTGTGAAAGTTTGTGTAATAGTAAATAACAATTTTATAAATATCTTATCACGTCTCTAGGTATTTAAAAATAAAGTTCGGTTGGTGAATAATTTAATAAAATTTAACTAAACGCTTAAAAATTAACAATGTGTAGACGACCCCGACACAACAACAGCCACGTTGAGATTACTGAACATTAAGCAAGTATGCTTTGAGTAATCTTTTAAAAGTAAAAATTGACGAGGCATTTCTAATCGGCGGTGGTAGGTTATTCCAACACTTCGAGGCAGCATAGCGAAAGCTACCACGAACGTTCACCGTTCGATGTCGAGGGCATACAAGGCGAGGCGCATGTCTGACGTGCGTAGATGAGAACTGAAGTTGGTCATACAAGTATGAAGGTTGCTTGGTCTTAACAACCCCAAATAGCAATACAGCAAAATGTAACTGGCGACGGGCTTCCATCTTCAATAAACTTGCATCATTTAGGAAAGGCGTGACATGCGCTCGACACGAAACGGGAAAACAATACCTGGCACACGCATTCTGTAATCGCTGAACAAGAATCCTCGTGCGAGCAAGCAGACATCCACCGTATATAGTGTCAACATATTGTCATTAAGTTAAAAGTTATACCATGGACAGAATCAAAGAGTCGCAAAGCTTTATGCACAAATCGTCGTTAGTGAAGTTTCTCACACGTTACAAAAACTTCAGGCGATAAATACAATTACGGATTGTCTCAAGGATAATCCAAAGTTAAGGAAACCATCCATAAGGACACCCAGATTTCTCACCACCGAAACTCGGCCCACGGAACTACCTGCTATAATTACTTGTGGGTCATAGGACATGATGTTTTCAATTTGATGTCTTGTACCAAGTACCAAAAACTTCGATTTGGACGGATTAAGCATTAGATTATTTTACTCTGACCATTGGGCAATTCTGGTGAGATCCTCATTCAACTGACTAACTGCGGACTGTGTTTCAAGAGGTTTAAACGAAATATAAATTTGTACGTCATCAGCATGCAAATGGCAATTGCAGTTCTTGATGCTGTCCACAACATCCGCAGTATACAGAATGAAAAGGATAGGTCCGAGAATGGATCCTTGAGGCATCCCTCTAGTAACGGTGGCGGCACTAGAAAGCATAGAAGAACCATCCTCACAGCGCATCTTCACCCGCTGCTTGCGCCCGCAGAGATAATTGGAGAACCATTTGACAGTATTAGAGTGGAACCCATAGTAAACGAGCTTAGATAACAGAAGCTGAATATTAACGGTATCAAAAGCACGTGAGAAATCCAGGAAGGTGAGAATTAATGGAACCCTCCCCAGCGTCTCTCGCAGCCAAAACATCATCCACCACGTCAAGCAACGCAGTGGCAGTGCCAGGACTCTTCCTGGAGCCCGATTGCTTCGCTGGTTAAATTCCATTAGTCTCAAGGTAGTCTGTTAGTTGCCAACACACTGCCTTTATTACGATTTTTGAAAAATACGGCAACATA